GATCAGACGTCATCGTTTGAAGTTAACTCTTTAGTTTTTCATTAAAAAACTAATTATTCAGTTTTTTAAACTAAAAACTTGTTTAATCAATGTAAAGTCAAATTATTTAAAACGCAACCTAATAACACATACAAAGACTTTAATTGTGTGGCCAAAAGTGAGAATATAAACTGAAATGAAATGTAACAAAATGGAAATAAGTTTAGATTAATAAAACGTTTCTTTATAAATGCATTTATATTGCTAATTTTATGGCTATACCTCGTAGGTAGTCCATCATTGAATCATTAGCATAGATTTAAGCAATTGCCTGCAATCTTCGGTTCAGCTGAACATATTTGTTCTTTGAAGCTTCTGGTTGATTAACTCCAGCTAGATGACGTTCCAGTTTGATTTCAATGTGATCTTTTTCCAGACGAAACTGGTTGATCAATTTAAAAACGGAAGGATGATTGCAATCTACCGTTTGTTAGAATGCACGATGCCACGCCTCGACTAAGTTGTTTGTACGGGGTAGATTTTCAGCGACACGATTATGGACATTCCAAATAGCAAGAGCGAAGCGTAGGTCACCTTGATGGTTTCTCCTTCGCCTCCCTATGTAACTGTTATGCTGTATGTTTGAGTGCAGGTTGGTGCGAAGAGCATAGTGAACATATTGGTATGATGACTAGATTGAAAGTTAGTGACGTATTTGTGTAGAGACTTGATTGCTATGAGTTTGGGTGTGAGTTAGTCTAATCTTGATCGTCGGTGTGAAAGGACGTGTGCTGGTCGGTATGACTCAAGTTGGGATGTAGATTCTAGAGATATACATGTAGATACAATAATAAGTGTAGGACAAGGAGTTATTGAGTTTGCCTTATCTCTGAGCGTCATATATTCGTCTGAACGTGAGATAGCCTTATTGGTTCTTAAGGTTGGAACCTCTCTAGATAGTAGTGGAGATAAATTAGAATGGTATTTGACCGAGTCGAGTGACTCAAACCCTCTAGAACTAAGCAAAGCGTAACATGGTGGAGCAGCTCAACAACGTAAACCAGCTATAACAGCAGTGTAACATGCGAAACAACGATAGATGGCCCAACGATTGTCCTATGAAGACTCGTTTTGTCTTTGAAAATCCGACTTGAAAGAAGAATCTTTTCTGAAGTTTACCCTTGTTGTCAGGACCAGTTGACGTATATAGGAACCAGATAGTTATCGATATACATCGTATCAGTACAGCACATTTGCTGGATTGTTCTACTAATAGAACGTACCTCTGGAGATTGGAAAGAAAAATTCAACTACGGACATTTCTGATCGTTTATCGTTAGTCAGTTGAATATTTTGATGACCTTTGTCAGCTGTGTATGTGACGTCAGCGTAACCTTGACCGTGAACCGTTAGCAACATGGCGCCGACAAGAAGAAACTGAAGATTCGTGTATAAACATTGATCCTGATCCTGTATCATCGTGATTTACCTCATTTGTGGAGAACTAGAAGACAACTAGAAGAACCTGTGTGCGACGTATTGGATCAAGACAAGGGGATCGGTGTGTCAGGACCCGGATCTTTGTATTCGTTATTTAAGATAAGTGCCACCATTTTCTAACTATTTAGTAGAGTACATCTGTGGGTTGTTGCACCATATTGTTGTTTGAGCTACCATATATATTAGTTGTATACGTAATATAGGAATTGGATCTAGATCTAGATTCTGGGTTTAATCACAGTTTAATTAATTTAATGGTGATCTAGATCTACATATTCTAAGTAGAAGGGTCATATAAATAAGATTGTTGTTGTTTGTAAGGAAGTGATTAGTCACTTCTTAAACAGGTGAATCTAAAGCCTAGATTGATTTAGATCTATTGGTGGATACACTATTATTAGATCTAGAATTGATACAGAAGAAATTAGAAAAATGTATAAGTAGGGACTGAGTCTGGAATATAAGGGTGAAGATTTAGTTAGAGAACTGGGTAGCTAGACAAATTAACTAATAGAGGAGATAGCTAGTAGGGCTTATAAATGTTAACTAGCTAAACAGGAATTAGATTTAGAGAAAGTTAGGGTTCAGGCTAATGAGCAAGCTAGAATGGAGATAGAAAAAGTAAAATTGGAATATGAAGCGAAATTGGAACAGACTAAATTAGATAATGTTCATGAGTCACAGTGGGGGACACAGTTATTGGTATTGATAGGAGGTAAGGGATTGGATGCATGCCAAGGTTTAACAAAGATTGAGATGAAAGATTATAGAACTCTTAAAAAGACTTTGTTAGACCTAACAGAAGAAGCCTACAGAGTAAAGTTCCAGGAATTATTGCCAGAAAACACAGAGGATTTCAAAATGTTTACAAACAATATTAGAACAAGTCTTGATAAGGGGTATGATGCTTCTGGGTTAGATGTGACAGTAGAAAATTTGAAAGAATTTATTCTAGTTAAGAAGGTTTTGACCTCTGTTCATAAAGATTTATTTGGATATCTTCAAGAAAGGAAACCCAGAACTTTGGCTGCATGTACAGACCTGTGTCAAAAATATCAGGCAGCCCATCCAGGTAAAACCATTAGGAAAGAGACAGAATATGGTCATATTTTTTTTAGCTCAGGGAGTAGAAAGAAATAGTAGTAAAATGGCAGACAACAGGATTATCAGTAATAGTAATGCAAGCCCAAACTTAGTTTCCCAGGGATCGTATAAAACCATTCAGTGCTATAATTGTCAAAAGGTAGGTCATTTGGGAAGGAATTGTCCAGCTAGGGTTAGAGCTAAGGATGAGGTAGGAACTAGATCACAAGTTAGATGTTTTGGTTGTAATAGGTCTGGGCATATGAGGAAAGATTGTAGAGAATTCCAAGCCTCAGGGAGGAATAATTATAGTCATGATCAGGATAGTGTATACATAGCAGTATTAAATAAAAATTGTCAGGGTATGAACACTTTCAAAGCTTCCGTGAATAGGATGAATGCAGGGATACTGGTGCCTCCATTATTGCTGTAAAGGATAAATTTGTTAAATCTCATCAGTACACTAATAAAAGGAAGCGTGTGAATGTATTTGGAGGTAAAAGCTATAGTTGGCCTGTAGCAAGAGTCTTTGTTAGATCAAACCATATTACCGGATATGTAGATGCTGTGGTTTTTAGGAAAGGCCCATATGACTTGATAATAGGAAATGTTCCTCGGGTGAGAGATGACAATAACAGTAGTAAGGTCCAGAACTTAGAAAATAAAATCAGCATCCTTGAAAATGAAATAGGAAAACTTGTGAGTAAAGTACAGGAGTTGACCAGTTTAATAAATTATGATGGCTCTGTCAAGGTAGATAGTACTAAGGTAAATATAGGAGATTGGAATCAGCATAGAAATAGAAACAAAAAGTGGAGTAAGAAAGATGATACAGAACAAAGTAAGACACAATGTTTTATGGCTAGTGATGGGGAAGGGGAATTGAATGACTTACAGTGTGCGCTGATGACTTCTGCTGATGAAACTAAGACTATTAAAATTAATGATTAATTTGCCTGATGCTAGTGGTTGAGTTTTTTCTAAAACTGAGGTAATTGTCAAAGAAAAGACTGTAAGATATGATATATATATATATATATATATATATATATATATATATATATATATATATATATATATATATATATAATATTTAGATATGTTGATGAGCCAGGTTGATAGTAATCTGATGAGTGTTGTTTGATTAATATATGTGGATTATCATAAGAGACGGGACGTAATGTAATATACTTTACTAATCAGTTTGAAGTCTAACTAGAGAGTTTGATGTTTGCTTTATGGTTTGTACCTTAAAATGTTTCGCAGAATTGTGCAGTAAAATACCATTATTTAAGTGAAAAATATGTTTTCAAAAAGTAAGGACTACCTAGACAACAATAACAAAATCGATTAATTCAAATGTGTTGGACGAGATTAAGCAAATCCCCCTTGAAACACAATGAAGAGATATATTCTTTATAGCCGTAGCTTTTGCTGTGCTCTTTTATCGAAAGGAAATCTAAGTTTCGATACGTTTTTTATAGCTCAAGGTAAAAACAATAAACAGCTTTTTTTAAACCATTTTCTTAACCTTTTTCTTTGAACCCAAAACAAGTTAAGACTAAAATGTCTGACGAGCAACCCCTGTCTTGACACTTCAAAATCTCGGCTAGCGCTCATAGTTTGGAAAAGAGAACAAAACCGTGCTAAGATTAAAACTATTGTTAGTTTGGTTTGTCTCACAGTTATGTATTCAAATGATACAAAAACAGAATCCGTACCAAATGTTGATTCTACTTATGCATGTGCGCCAACTCAAGCAGCATACTTAAAGTGTGGTCAATAGAGCTGGACAACTTGCACTTTGGCCGGACAATACACCAGCTCTTAGAGCTCTGGTCAAAACACACACACAAACACATAAAAACACACACACACACACGCACACACACACACACACACACACATATATATATAAATATATATATATATATATATACATATATATATATATATATATATATATATATATATATATATATATATATATATATATATATATATATAGGTCTATATATTAGACATAAAGACACCCATTGCACCTACTGCTGACTTAGATTAACAATCAGTATAAATCAGAGTTATGTCAATGGTAATCGATCTATTTGTTTGTTTTATCAAAATACCATTTCTTTTTACATTATAAATTGTACGTCAGCCTGTCAAAAAGCGGATTATCCTCTGGAGTGTAATGAAAAAAGGTTCCTTATTTAGAAAAAGTAAACACACCAAGTTCCACATTATGTGAAATGTTAGAATCTTAATGTAAAAAAAAATGTCTATAGGTTCTTTATACATTTGAAATGAAAGACATGTACCCTTTCGGTTAAAAATATGAGAACTAGATTTCCTGATTTCATCAAAATAAACTTTGTAAAACCTATAATTTGTATTACTGTGAAGTTAAAATAAATTGCATATCGACAGCCTTCACACCACACTACCTTAGCATTCAGTGTGAAGCTGTCAAAGTGCAAACACGAACATGTTGAACATTAAAGGTGCTGTGTTCCTGATGGTAATGCTTGCAACAGCCACTTCGTTCATGTTGACCAACAGAGGTAGTATGCTTTGTACATTTCGTGTTCTTTATTTACTTTCTATTTCTAGCTTGGAAAGAGGACATAATGTTTCTAGATGTAGTATTTGAATAAAAGTTGGTATATCGAGAATGTTTAATAATGTATATATACAAATAATATTATATATATATATATATATATATATATATAAATATATATATATATATATATATATATATATATATATATATATATATATATATATCAAGTGTGTATGTGTAGGTACATGTGTGTAAGGTTTTAATGTTTTAATACTATGTTGTATGATAAGGAAACGTTTTCAAAAGCAATACGTTTAAAGACGAACACTTTTAAACTTGAATTTTTTTATTTCAATTCAAAATCTCGTATTATACAACACATCCATTTCTTTGACATCTAAACTGTATGTGTTTTTATTTAACATTTTATAGCGGAACAGCAAGAGAACCGGTATGTTTTTTTTTTACATCTTCAACCAGGTTTGGACTGGCTAAGAGGCCCGGGCAGTTTAAAAAAAGACCCCAACCCCAGATTTAAATTTGTATTGTTCATTTTTTGCCCACCAGAGCCTGATGATCATCTTATTCTAGATAAAATTTACCCTGGCAATTCAAATTTAAAAACTTCAAGCAATTAAATTTCCCAGCACAGCTACGTTCATTCCCCACCCCACCACCCTGATCTATAAAGCAGGGATCTACAGATTTTTTTTCCTTGTGGCCCGGCGGTCCAGTCCTCCCCTGTCTTTAACTACTTATTGTTGCCCCGTCTTCTTATAATATGTTGACCACACTACTAAAAAGTGTTCTATTGCTTTATACACAGTTTGATTATATATTGCCTGGGACAATATGAAAGTTGTGCTGGTACCAGCTTCAAATGTTGCGATGGATATACATGCAAGTAATTGAATTTGTGTTTCTGTTCGTTTCTTTTGTCTATTTCATGTACAAATGTTAAACATTTTTGAAAAAAAAAATACCTAGTCTTTTTTTTCGTGTAGCCTATGTTCAACTTACTTCTTGTTCATTTGAACAATATATTTTTAGCAAACTCTGCAATGACCTTTTTTTAGTGAAACGTGTTGTTTGTAGTATATTGGAGCTGTTGATAGAGAAAAATTAAGTTTAAGTATTTATACAATCTTTCAGGCATTACAAAATCTCGTATTATGTTTAAGGAACTATAGTTGTCCCCTAGTGCGAGATTATACTCCATCTAGAAATATGTGTTAATCTATTGTAACATAATAACTGAAAGTTAAATAAAAGTTTCAAAATCTCACCAACGAAATGTTGTTCTTGATCATATTGTAGCTTAAATACTATATCAAGCGACAAACTATCATACAAAGAAAATAGAGATTTACACGGCAGAGAAAAAATTATAATTTTAAATTTCGAGAGTTATCTCCCTTAACTTTGTGGTAACTTTCACACATCAAATATATGTGTTTTTTGTGTTGTTTTTTTCTAGAACCAACAGTGAGGGTTTGGCCTGGTGTAATGATTAAAAGTGGCAGACAAATTAGGTAAAAATTAATTTAAAATCTCATTTTAATATGAAGTTTTGAATTATTTACAGTCAAAGTTACGAAATGAAACAACTACACACTGGTGTAATTGTTTTCTATATCAATTTTCTTGCAATGAAACAGAAACGGTTACAGTACCTTCTACTGTAATTGTTAAGAATTTCCGCAAACCTAAATGGGGGGGCTTAAAACTGATAGTCCGCACTGGGCGCAGGAATAGGTTGCTACGCCTCTGCCCTAATTACCCCCAGATCTACTCCAATGGCAGGTTCAGCCAAGCTGTGAAGATCTGCACAGGGTAGGGAGTCAGGCAAAAGCTAGCACCCTGGTCCCCCAGGTTTGGGGGGTCGAGCGCAATGACAGCTACCGCATACCGTAAAAAAATAACTTGCTACAGAAACACAGACAGAGAGAAATACAGACAGCTCGCACTTTGGAAAGAATAAATCTCCCGATAAAGAAGTTATAAAGCCGGGTGCTGAAAAGTAATATGTATTGGAAACTGCCAGTCGACCACCATTATTTCCACAATGTCCACCATCAATATTGGATCTATGGATCAAGGAATGTCTGTACAACGTATGAAACTGGATAAGCAGCCCAAATAGCCAAAAATGAGACGCTATATAATAGCTCTACTTTCTATCAGCGCGTCAGGTGGACTGGCTAAGGACAAAAATGTTTGGAAATAGATGAGTGACAGGTTTTCTTGGGCCACGAGTATGAAAATGTTTCAAATACTCAAGACGTCGCATTATGTCAAACCAAGCACAAGCGGAAGGTACACTGACCATTGACCATAACAGCCCGTTTTAAGACTAAAATCAGAATAATGAACATGGACATAATACAGAGCCTATGCCCTAACAAATGACAGCAAAGATGTCCATGAAAGCTAATGAGCATTATCCAGAACCGCTCAAGAAGAAGCATCCTTATACTCATTGGCGACAATTCTAAGATTGGAAGCGACAACAGAGGATATGAATACATTTTGGGGCAGAATGTTTTGAAAGATGAACGTAAATATAGAATGATTTGCTGACTTGTGTGCTACAACGAATGTGGTAATAAGAGTGAATTTTTGATAGCGTGGAGAGACAGTTAATGTGGAAAGTGGTGAGTCAATATAGGGTGCCACAGGAAATAGTCAACATTATTTTTTGCTTATATGAAGGTCTAAAATGTAGAGTACTGCATGGCCAAAAGACTAAAGAAGCCTTCCCTTAACGGACCGGAGTAAAGCAGGGTTGCCTACTTTCACCAGTCCTCATCCTGCTGGTCATTGACTTGATTATGAAAAAACCAAACGGTATACAGTGGACACTATAGAACCAGCTGAGTGCCCAGGACTTTGATGATGACCTGACCTATCTTTACCACACGCAAAAGCAAATTCAAGATAAATTAGTGTTGCTAATTCATCTACATAACTGGGCCTAAACACCCACAGAGATACAAGTTCTCAAGCAACTATAACATTAATAGACGAAGCCACTAAAAAAGTGAATAAAATCATTTTACTTGAAAGTATTGTTGATAAACGGTGGGACAGAAGCAAACATAATCATAAGGACCGACAAGGCAAGAGCAACATTCAACCAACTAAAATATGTTTGTAGTTCTGGAGATTCAACCCTTGGAATAAAAACCGGGGTCTTCAACACACTAGTACAATCTGTTTTACTCTATGGAGCTAAGATATGGAAAATAAATACCACAAATAAGAAGAAAATAAAATCATTTATAAACGCATGCTTCAGAAAAATCGTGCGAATGGCCAAAAACGATCAGAAATGAGAAGATATGGCAACGGACAAATCAACTGCCAGCTGAAGAACAGATCCTTCAGATAAACTGGAGTTGGACTTGCTTAATTTACATTTTGCTTTGCCGGTTATCGGCTCGACTACTGCGTCACATATCTTATCTTCTTATATATAAATATATATATATATATATATATATATATATATATATATATATATATATATATATATTTATATATTATATACATATATATATATATATATATATATATATATATATATATTTACATATATACAAATATAGCACATACACAAACGGGAAACAGCTGTTTTCAGGCTTAAATATCGATTGTTAACGAAGTTCATTTTAACGAATTAAGTACTAGGATAGCTATGATTTAATATTATAATATAAAAAATAACCCTGCTTTTTTAGGTTGCAATATTCTTATTTTTGGCATCAAGCAAGAGCGCAAGCAACTTCAGTGTTTTGCAGTTTATTTAATTACTGGCATGATTTAATGAAAGAAAAAACTTTTGGGCTTTATTAAGTAGTGATGTAACTAATAAAATATTGTAAAAAAACTTAATGTGTTTTATATTTTGATTAGAACTGGGCTTCGATATTAGCGAAAAATGATCATGTAATCTTATCTTTAGCATGATCGTTTCACAATTTCTTTTACATTATTGTGTCACGTGTCTATCTAATATTTAAAACTAAATGAACTTTTTTAATACCTTTACTTTTGAATTTAAAACAAATACAGTAACATTCCACACCGTTTGGCTGGATATTTACAAGGTAGGTACATTGATGTACAAAGCATAATAAATAAATAGCGAAATAAGTAAATGAATACAAAAGATACATTGAATTTAAAGATTGTTGGTTCAAAAATTGAAAAGAGGTTGGTTTTGAACATTTTGCCAACAAAAGTGGTGAAATAGTATAACGTATGGAAAAATAGTCGAAAACAGAGCTGGTTTGCATGGATTTCACCCGATTCTGTACAATAAACATAGTAAATACCAAAGAAAAAAAAAACCAGTAGAGTAGTCACACACACACACATGTGTTGTTTTACAAGGATTTTATTTATATTTGTACAATAGTGAATTGCAAAAATAGATAAATAAGTAAATGAATAGATATTCGAAACTGATGTTGGGGCGGGTGGTGGGGTCGTTGGGACAGCTTAAAGGGATGTGGGGTTATCATGTCTGAGGGAGATGTGGGCAGAACGGGTGGGGGGTTGTAGAGGTCTCTAAAATGTTATTTTTTAAAATTATTTAACGTTTTAGCATAAAGCCTTGAGTGTACGTTAATCACTCACCGTAATATCACCGTTATTGACTGTTAAAGCCGGCTCCTTAAGTATTTTGAGCTCGTTTGAGCCAAGTGTAACACTTTTAAAGAAATACACTCCACAACGAGAATCTGTTTTATGGGTGTATAATGATTATCAATCACAAGAACACATCACAGAAGAAACACTGACTAATCGGTACACGATGTTTACCCCCACCACACTGCTTATACACTCCTTCTTTCACACACTTGTTTTCACGTTCGCACACCACTTCCAAGGGTAGGCAACTTTTACAAACACTCTATCCGTGCCTACACACTTTTGTATAGACATCTACGTCACAGTCACTTAACGCCTAAGTGTTGGAGACGTAAAGGGGCGTTCTCTTGAGCCCCCGATTATACTACCGCAGGGGCACCGCGTAAGGCTCTAGGCTCGACTTAATCATCGAATGCCATGAAGCTCACATTGTTACGCAAAAGCAGGGGCGCCGGCGGCTATGCCTGAATATATTAATAACCCTTACCCATTATAGAGAACGCCCGATTAAAGGATACCATGTGCTAAGATAGCAGCTCTTGAAAACCATGAATTGACAAAAATCGCACACTCCCGGGTGCCACTCATAAAATTTTGTAATTATTTATCGGGAATATTCTCATCAACTCCACAAAGTTTCAAGGCACTCGGATGACGGTGTCGAACCGCATCCGACTTTTTATTTTTTTATATACCGTTTATAGAGAATAATTGAATCGTGCCCTGCCGGTACTCAATCTCTGCTAATTCGAGGTTTTTTTTTTCGCCGAAACCACCTCATGATAATTCTCAACAATTACAAAGTCTCACTGCGATCGGATGAAAGGTATAGTAATACATAAAAGACAGACAAAAACATACAGATACACAGACATGGCTTTTTATGTATCTTCTATATATAAAGCAAATATGGCAGGCTTATGCCTTGGGGCAACAGAACACGAGGGCCGGTGCCGGTTGGTCGCAAAGTCTATATGATGGGATCAAGGTCCTAGGTGTTTTGACCACAGGTGCTTTGACCATAGGGGGTTTGACCATAGGCTGTTTGACTACAGTGGGGCTTTGACCATAGGGGGTTTGACCATAGGGGCTTTGTCCACAGCGGGGCTTTGACCACATATGGGCTTTGTTCACAGAGGGGGGTTAACCAAAATATATAGATTTCAAAACAGTGATTATAAACTGTTCTTTGATTTAAATTTAAGATACAATTACACTATTTTATACATGTTTCCTGAGAGTCCATTAATAGATATTAACATGTTTTTTAAAAAAAAGTCAAGAACGATATTTTAGTCTCTACATAAAGTCTGATGCTAAGCCACATAGATTTATGTATTGCAAATATAAATAGAACACAAATAATGCCACATATAACGCGTGAACAAAAAAATAATGTAGATGTACTTGAAAATACATAGCATACATTAAGGATAAACAGCATAGTCAGTGAAGTAATACTTGTATGGTTAACTAAATGACAGATATGCTATAGCACGCAAATATGTCAATACATTTGTTCGACCATATGTCTGGACAGCACGTTGTATTTTTTCGTGCAGCATCCTGTATAGCTTCTCAGCTGAATAGCCTGCTTCTGTGATACCTTGCAATAAAGTTGTCTTTAGCCGTGTGCAGTCCATATGTAGAAAATCTAGGAAACGCCACATTGTTTGGTGACTACAATGGAGCAGAGACGGAACACTGTAATGCCATCCTTCACAAATGTTATTTGTTCGAGGTACACCATCGCCAATCGTGTATATTAGCCCCCCCCCCCCCCCGAAGAGATGCCTGGAAGAAGCTCTGCCCTTAGCTCTCCACATAACAGCCAATCCCCAATTAATTAATCATTCAAATTCTGAAAAGTTTTTTGAAAACCTAAGAAAAGCTAGGCAGTATGCTTAGTATAGATTTAATGAAAACTTTCATCGACAACGGCCCGTTGAAAAAACATAATCTCAAACGAAGGAATATGAAAAAATTGGATTTTGTTTATAAATCTTTAAAATCTGATCCTATATACCATCTTTCGTTAAAATTATTGCATATTTTAAAACGCAAAAAAATAAAGCGGGAGTAGTCTCTTTGGAACTTTCTCGAAGCTAATATAAAAATCTCAAACTTATTATGTGCCTCTGTATGTGACAGCAGACAGAAAACTGACACTTGGCAAAGGAGACTTATAGTAAAATAATCGGCCTGCTCGCCATAGTGTAATATTCTGAAAGCGTTTATTAACATCACGTGGAATTAACAAAGTGAAAGAAAATGTATCATCCTTCACAAAAATTAAACGTGTAAACATTATTTTGTTCCTTTTGTGATAGATCACGAAAAAAAACGTTTCTTTTAAAAAAAGAAAAAAACATAACGTAAGGGAAATAAATTATTTTTATTTGTTTCGGTGTTGAAAAAATACTTTTATATTATTAACATTGATTGATAAAGTGCTATGTGGTAGGTAAAAAACATTGTGATGTAGATGTTTATATAAAGTGTGTGTGAGAGTGGCCTCCCCTTGTAAGTGGTGTGCAAGAGAAGAAAGAAGTGTGTGAACTGTAGTCTGTAGAGCGTAACCTGCGCTTAGCAAGTAGGAGTGTTTTTGGTTTGAATGTTACCTGTGTTCCCATATAGAAGTTAGAAATTATATTTGACTATTACATTTGAAATGTGTTTTCAATTGTGTTATACCTGGTTCCAGAATAAAATGGAAACC